ACTGGGAGACAAGCACCTTGCTTGTATAACTAAAAACAATGAAAATAATAAGAGCAACTTGCTGTAAACTGTGGATGACTGTAGTTTGATTGTCAACGTGAGGTAATGTAGGTCAGGATTTTAGTATTGGTATTGTGTTTGATGCTGTAGACTATTGATGCTTTGGATAATTGATGTAGACTATAGATTCTGGAATTGAAGACTATTATTTATGCTGATAATTGTGGTATGAGGCGTCGGAGGTGAAATGAGCGGCTATTGGTCTTAGTTTTTGGTCTTTTTTATAGTTCTCGAAGTTAAAAATCTGATTGAAGTTGGCTGTGCTGCATTTTATGGCTTTATCGTAGAAGTCTGCATTTAATTTGTCTATATATTCGGATAGAAACGGAATTTTGAGATCTTTATGGATATTTGAATTACGCATGAACCATCTGGCACAGGTGATTTTTCGGAGTATTTTATTTTGAGACATTGATTGAGCTTTTTCATTAGGTGTTGGGGTATGGTAGTCCCGGCAGGTGAAGCATATGTAAGTATAGGTCGGATCTGGACACCTGGACCGCGCAGAAGACCCATATCCCATTCATCGTGAAATTAAAGACAAATTAGAAAATATAAACACTTTGTATTCAGAGTCTCTGGGGTGACTGATATTCTCAAGTTTTATATTCCATGTGTTTTTCTTTTTGCGAAAAATATTGAAATTAAAAATGGTCAGTTAATGAATTCCATAAATATGATAAGCAATTTTATTGAATTATATTTGAAGCTTTTATATCATTCAAAGAATTATGCAGCTGGATAAAGAGAAATAAGTTTAAGAAAGAAAAAGAAACAGGTAGTTTACTTTGCGAGTGTTTACTTTGAAATATCTTTTTATGTGCTTTTTGCGGTCACTGACAATCCCTAAATACATTTCACGCTAAATATTTTTCAAGAGTAAACAAATTTTATATTTCTTATAAATAAAAAATTTCTTTTTTAAACTTAAGACTTTTTCGAAAACATGAAACATTTTATATGAAAAGGTTTTCTAATATATCGTTGGGTCATAAAATATTTTTCAATTTTTGAAAGTGAAAAAGCCTAGAATTTATTTTCAAACATTAGATCATTCAAAATAATGATTGGCACAAAAAATTTATGTATTGTTAGCTTACTCATGTATGTTAATTCTTTATTTGTATGACTATTAAAACAAAGCAATGGTATAGGCTCCGAGAAAACATTTCATCAAAGAGATGAAATAACTATCATTACTTCTCCAAGAAAACGAATTTCGCAAAATTAAAAAAATAATTCGTCATTCCACTTTTTTCAAAAATAATAAATAAATAAAAAAAAAAATAGATAAATTAGTAAATAAATAAACAAAAAAACCTGGTCACTTCTAATGTATAAACCTTCCTAATAATAAGATTTCGAGTTGAGACATTTTTGTCATATATTTGAAGCTTTCGCGTTTCATCACGGATTTTGAGACGAAATGATTTTCAGTGTATTAGCACTTTAATTCAGCAGGATTGTAAGAATTTTGTTCCCATTGTATTTTAATAATTGTAACACATATCTTAGAGGTAAAATAGACAATTGTCATCTCCTTCATTGATATTTAGGACCTCCTACAGAGATGCGAACTGCTCCGGACACGCCAAAATAATTAAAATAACGATAACTATAAAGTAAATTTTGCAAATATTAGACTATTTTTGCCTGCTTTTTAAAAGGTATAGCATGACATTAGTACTGGTAGAATGGTAGAAATCACATAAATCTCGGTGCGCTGCCGCGAAGCGGCATTGACCGATTCATCTGTAGTAATAAATCGATGATGAGGAGTAGTGAGGAGGAATGGAGATGGGAAGAAGAGTGGGTTCGTGTGAGTCGGCTGGGGCTGAGTGCATTTCGTGTGCTAGGGCAACACCATATCCCTAAGGAAAAAGACAGTGATTGGGATAAATTTAGTGTTGTCGTCAATTAGTTCTATATCTAGGGGTGAGTTAAAATTGCTAGTGGTACAGGTTTTTGCTTCATCGTAGAAATTTTTATTTAAATTTTTTATATAGACGTTGATGTCATCAATTTTAAGATCCCTTTTAATACTATTATTGCTAATGCATTTAGGTGCACAGACGAGTCTTCTAACAATCTTCCCTTCTGCCATAGAGAGTTTATTTTTTAAATGATCCCTTAGAGTGTGAATGGCGGGGCAGGCATAGGTTAAGATTGGCCTAATTGCCATTTAGATAGACAGTGCGCTTGCATTTTAAGTCTAAAGATGACTTCGGGTTTAATATGGAGTTGAGGGACCAATAGGCACCATTCGCCTTTTTAATAATGTTATTTATGTGTTGTTTCTAACTTAAATTAGAGGTGATTAACATTAGTACTATAAAGTGGTTGATTATATAAGCCTACGAATTATTTAGAAATAGTGGTGGATAGAAATCTACTAAATTGAATTTATTAAACCAAAAATCACAATTGATAAAGTACCACTTAAAAATATATATTTGCTGTCTGGAGCAAGTTGGCATCTCTGCTCCAAGAATACGACAAAACAGATAAGATGAATTGGTTAGTGGCGCTTCGCGCCAAACGCCGAGATAACCCCAGAATCCAGCAACAATTGTTATCTGGGTTGATTATCATGCGTTTCAAATATATATATATATATATAAATGTATGTATGTTTCCCATGAATGACCGAAATCAAGAGAATGCCGACTTTCACTGGTGAATTTCAATAGTCAAATAGTCGCTTTGGTGAGTGTCCGAAATATTTGTTATATCCGATTTGATACTAATTTATTCGTAGTTATCATTATATTTATTCGATATTTTAATATCTTCTGAAGACAGATTAGGGGAAACATCAGTGTTCCGAGTACAGGTNTATATATATATTATATTTAATCCAGGACTTTCTTAATAATATCGATCATCATAATCTCATGATCATTTCATTTTATATTGTTTATGATTATATTGTCATTTAATTATACACCATCAGGGCCTGATTATAGCCTAGGCCCAATAGGTACGGGCCTAGGGCCCACAATTTCTGAGGGACCTCAAAAATTAGTAAAAAGTCTAATGAAAGGTGGGCTAGCTATGCTTGTTTAAATACTAAATAAAAAATAATTCCAGCTTACAATGAAAAAAAAATTAATCTAATCAGTGACTTTTGGAAAAAATCACTGATTTCAATTGTTTGTGTTCTCCAAACTATTTTTATTTTGACATAACATTGTTTTGTTGTTTCATATTTTGCTTTATTTTATAGATACGTAAAATTTATCTTCAAAAAATAAACCTCAATTGTCTGCTTTCAAAATTTCTTAGAATGTTTCTCTTGAATCATGCAGTTCAATAGATTCTTTTTCACTGTTAGGACTACTCTTCAGCAATTTAATTTCAAAATATTTTGTAAGGGGCCCAGAAAATTTGGTGGGCCATGGGCCTGAGTTTGTCTTGATCGGTCCCTGTAAAGTGTACACCATGCCACTCAACATTTCTTGATTGTCCATGTCACACGAACCCCATCTCGATTTCTTGGCGCTGAGCACCCCCTCTTCCTCCCATCTCCATTCCTCCTTACTACTCCTCATCATCGAGTTATTACTACAGATTAGAGCCCCTGAATTAGACAGGCCGACTTATCATTTATTGTTGGAGCAAAGAGCTAACCTATGCTCAGCGAATAAATTTTTTCAAGTGGTAGTTTATTAATTGTAATTCTTGGTTTAATAAGTTCGATTTAGTAGATTTTAATCCACCACTATTTCTAAACAATGCGTAGGCTTATATTATTCACCACTTTATAGTACTTATGACATGCTTTACATTTTTAAAAGCAAAAATTCCCTTTGTAGTTATTTACCGTTTTTTAAATTATTTTGGCGTGTCCGGCGCCGTTGGCATCTCTGTAATAACATAACTAATATAAACATAACGTTAACTTGCGAACTTGTTTGCTCCAATATTGCTTGATAGGTCAGCTCTGATAGTATAGGAGCCTTACTACAGATGAATCGGTTAGTGCCGCTTCGCTGCAGCGCACCTAGATTAATGTGATTTCTACCATTCTACCAATTGTCATCTTCTCAACTCATCCAAACTTCATATTACAGCACAGAGGATAAAAGCGGATAGCTTAGATCCTCTACTACACTCAACCAACCAACAATTGTCATCTTCTCACACACTGATATACGCTTTATACGAATTCTGTTTCCTTCAAAAATGTCTGCTTTAGTTGGCAACCATTCGAAAAAATAATTCTTATAAATTTCAAATGTTAGAGGATTTATGCTAAAGTATAACCGGGAGCATTGCATTAGGTGGTATTTAACACGTTGAATGCCATGGGGGTCCCCGATGACCGGCACTGAGTTTGTTCGCAGCTCCACGGGGGTCACCGGTGACCTACGAAGCCAAGATTATTAGAAACACATAATTCGAGTAAATTTTTTAATTTATTTATATTATTATCGTTACTAAAATGGCTTAAAGAAATTAATGCAATATAGAACACAAAAGTAGTTTTATTTATATACACAGAGATGCCAACTTGATCCCGAGAGTGAATAAATATTTTCAAGTGGTAGTTTATTAATTGTGATTCTTGGTTTAATAAATTCAATTTAGTAGATTTTTATCCACCACTATTTCTAAACAATTAGTAGGCTTATATTAGTCACCACTTACTTCAGGAATGGTATGCTAAACCAAATTTAAAACTAGCAAAATATGTCGAATACTTACGAATTTTGTTGGTAGTTTTCTACTGTTTAGCCACACGGGCAAGTCATGTAAAATTAACGAGGCTTTCAACGTGTCAAATTAACCAAAATGCCATTTAATATCTCCTTCAACTAAGCTTTCACTTATCATAAAACAGCAATAGGGAAGGAAATATTTTTGTTTCATACCGATTCTTTTGTTTTAACAGCTTATGAGTGCTCTTAAATTAATTTTGATTCTTCTCTTTTTTTTAGGATTTGGATTGTTAGAATCAGGTTACGTTAACCGGAAGAATGAGGTGAATATTATGGTAAAAAATTCAGTCGATGTGATATTTGGAGGTTTGGGATACTGGATGTTTGGATATGCGTTTTCTTTTGGAAAAGATCCTGGTTCTAATTTCTTTATTGGTAAATATTCTTGAATTTTGAAGGAATTTAAAATGGTAAAAGACGAATCTTAAAAGTACACTGAAATATGAAAATCTGTGAATGCAATAGTAATGCGTAGAGGACAGATTATTGATTTAAATATCAACCTCTCTTTCTTCTCATGTACGGTAAAACAATTTTAATTTTCGTAAAGTTTTGTAGCAATCATAGTTCTGTTATATAATCATAACCCCAATAAAATTGTATAAAAAACAAGTAATTTAAGCCATTTTTTCAATTCCTACTATTAGTTCACACTCTCCCTATATCTTGTTAAACACGTTCACGCCGGGAAAAGTGAAAATACTGGTAGAAGAACTATTTCAATATTAGATAATATTCGGGAGGAGTTAATCTATTCTCACCCATAACAATTCACTGTAAGGAAATTTATCACGGCGAAGAAGCAATTCAATATAAAAATTTCATCCGCTAAAAACAATTGGTAGTTATAGATTTTTATCATTCCCGAAAAAAAAACTAAAAAATGAAATTTATTGTTACCAGTTTTTACTCTGGTGCGCTACCAAGATGAGAAAATCTAGCGTGACCCACCGGTGGGTCACCCCGGCGTGAACGTGTTAAATTTTCAATCGTTAATAAAATACTTTTTTATTCATCCACTCAAATTCAAATACTTTTTTTTAAACTTGTAGTGGATGACACTTGATGTTAATGCAGTTTTTTCAAATAATAATTCATTAATTGTATAGGAATGAGCGAAGAACGAAATGGAATTTTCAGATTGGTTAAGAGTTAGTCATTGTTTTAAATTTTAGTATAAACGATTCAGTTTTTTACATATTTTAAACATCAGTGATAATTTTTGAACTATTATGAAATATGATATTTTAACAACAAAAAAAATAGTTTATTGCACATATATAAATATTTAATTATTTTATATTCGCTGTTTCAGATAAATTCAATAAAGAACATTATGTGGTATCCACGTCCGCAAATTCATACTTTTATAGTTATCTGATACCACGCGCCTTTTTCTTCTCAATTCTTACTATTAGTTCACACTTTCCCTACATCATACCTGCCAACTTTTAATCTCTTCCATTATCATTTTCCCCAGTGGTATTAAAATGGAATTAAAACTTCAATTTTAAGGCAAACAAATACGTTGTATTTGAGAAAACTTAAGTTGACAACCATGATAGTATCGGATATTAATATATGTGCTTAATTTTTGTAAGAATAGTGGTGATCAAAATCACTTAAAAATTAAATTTATAAAAGAAAAAAATAGTATATATTTACTACCACTTTAAATATGAAAATAAAATCTCCCGCAAAATGCGGGAGAGTTGGCAGGTATGCTACATATATTTATAAATCTTGTTCAAATTTTCAATCGTTAGCAAAATACTTTTAATTCATCCA